GAGGCCGTTGCCAACGCAAAAGCTGCGAGCTTGAGGCTTAGCTTCTTGTAGATACCGGTCCCGGGCTTTGGAAATGCTAGGGTTTTGTGAAATTCAGTGTTGAGGATGTAGGATTTGTCCAAGATAGATCGCAATCAGCCGTTAACAAGGATACCGGGGCCCTGGACAGCTCTAACAGCCACGTCTTGAAAACATATCCTGGATCCTATAGGGAATCTCGCCTTTCCACCCGTCAGCCTAGCGAGAAAATGTCGTAGCAGCTATGTTTATGTTCTCAGATCCCACCTCCTGGCAATTCGATGGCCGTGCTCATGGTACGTGCGACAGCCAATCTTCTTGAGAAGATATTACTTGTCGGGGACAGTACTATGTCATGGGAGCTGCAATGCTGCTGGATGCTACCTTGAACTTAGCCGGTAGCTTGCACGGATTCGCAGCATGCTCGCGGAAATTGACTGCCTTCGGAAATAACGTTTTATGAACCCTAGAACCAAAATACCATCAACCCAAAACCATGAGAAGAGCCCAGTACTCGGCATGTGATGCTCGACGAATCTCTCGAGGTGAGGTTCGCATAGGTCTTTTCAAGCCGCGGGCACCAATTCGAAAACAAGGGGTGCCGAAGCAACGAGCAGGTTCGAGCGGGTCTCACTATGGCAGCGGCTTTTCTGCCATTTCGATTAGAAGTAGCATCCCTCAGAGTGTATGTTTATGACTTGTTAGGATATACCATGCGCAACCAAGATCTCTATATATTAGCAGTATATATTAGCAGTAGAGAGACCAGGAAAGCAGCCCTCTGTCGCCGTCTCGAAGCGGCAGAGGACCGGCGCAGAGTAGAAGGGGCCCAGGGTATGGCGAAGGTGGGCGGAATAGCTGCAAAAAGCCATTCTTCTTATTACCCTGAAACCCCAAATCCTAATTACACCAAACCTCTAAATTTCTGCAACCTAGACCGGGGATCCTTCACTTGCTGTACCGCACCTTCATCCTACCCTACTGTAAGAGGCCCCAAAGAGAGGGCATTTTCCGGATGCGCCACTTGGCCGCAGTCTTTGCTGGTCGTCAAGCATAGTGTACCTATTTTGGTGCAACATAAGGTGCTCCATTATTGTTGCTGCTAGCTTAGCTGAAGGCGGCGGTTCTAGATGTGCGATTAGGACTCAAGGTTTGCGGAACCTGAAGCCCCAAACCTGATCGGCCGCAAAAAGATCTCGGACCACTTGGCTGAAGCCTCTGTCCTGCAACCCCTTCGGCTGCCGACAAGAGGGGCGATGCCTCCATGACATGCCTGACATGTGTGTCTTAATTCGCAAGAATCCGACGCAACAAATGCCAGGCAAACATTGTGAAACTGGCCACACTTTGGCCATGCGAACAATGTGCGTTTTCACTTTGTCGACGAATACCGTACCATATGCATGAAACACAGATAGATGCATTAGACGCTCACCCGCCTCCACACATATACATATACATATACATATACATATATGCACATGTAAAGTATATAACATATCTTACATCATATACCAGTACTTAATTGCTTCACTTGCAGTCAGCTCCAGAAAGCTGGAACCTGGATTGAGGAGGATGGGTGCCCAAGCTTCCTACACTTTGGCTTGGGGCCACAAGGATGCCGCAAATTCTGGTTCACTATACGTAACTTTAAGGTTTAGCGTTTAGGGTAGTGCGCACGTGACATCATGTGCGATGTGGGTTCCAGATCCTAAACTTCCCAAGCCCTAGTTGTGATGTCTCGGCTCACTCGTCGATGTCCTCCAGCTCAGGTTCAACATGCTGCCGCTCCGTCAAGACGAAGTCAGACAAATGGAGCCAGACCTTTACGTCCTCACGACTGCTTGCCGACGCACCGCCGTGCACTTTGAGATTGGCCTTGTTCGCCTGCATATACCTCCCCGGCTGGTCCATCACTCGGAGCCAAACCGTCTTGCTGAAATGCTTGGGCTTCAAGTTCGGATCCTTTGTGGCCTTCTCACCGAAGCCCCGCACTCGAGCACGCACGGACTCCCAGTCCGTGGGGCGGATGAATTTCCGGAGGCTTGGCATCCCACGATCCTCTGAGGAAGAAGGCTTGTAGTTCAGATGCACTTGGCAAACATCCTGATGTTCCTTTGCAGCTTCCACCAAGAGCATCATCTCTTTTAGCTGGGGCAAGGTCTGCAGGATCGATGCTGCGGAGCCGTCCGACGTGATCGAAGTTGCAGGTCGGCCCTTTCGGCGAAGTGCAAGGCTCGACCTCACCAGCTCATGCCGAAAGCTCGTGGCGTCGGGGAAATACTCTCCTTGGTTGTAGCTTCGGGAGTATCTATGAGGAGTACCTCCGTAACACCATTCAGGAAGTTATTATGTTTCACTTATGTTTCCCAAAGTGACACCTAGTCATACCTAGTCTCGCTCGGCATCCTGTCGCACGGCCAAGAGGTGATAGCTGTCATCCGAGCCATAGAGATGGGAGAGCGACACATGGAATAGGTCTACGGACACTGGCGGGATCTCCTCGCGGCCCTTCAAAGACACCCGCATGCAAGGTGGAGTTCCTTCCTGTTCTACCGCATTCTGGGCGGATGCCTTGATGAAGTCACGAAAGGTTCGCTTTTCTGTTTCCGCGAGAAGGTGCGGGAAATGCATGGATTCAAAGCTTTCTGCCTTTGTCGAAAGCATCCGGCTCAAACATTGGCTTTGGCTTTTGATATTCAAGCTGCCATCCAAGAGCACAGAGCCATCGCAAAGTCCCTGCAGCATGCGCCGGAAGCCCTGGACCATAGCCTCAGCATCCTCCGATCGAAACTGTGCCACAAAGTTTTCTCGAAGAGAAGCCTCCTGCAGTGAGCCTACGACCATGCAGCTAAGGGCCACCAAACTCTGGCTGTAGACCACCAAGAGCGCATGAGATGATAGGCCGTTGAGCTGCAATGCACCAAGCACCTCCACGACGGACAGACCCAACTGTGCGGGCACGTGCAGGCTAGCATCGATCTGCACGATGGTCATGATCAGCCTTGTAAGGGTGTGTATATTTTGTACGACCGTGCCCTCGGGGCCCCGCAGGACCCGCGTCTCCCATGTGCTTACCCCGAGCGCGACGTAAACGAGGGCGAAAATCATGCGCGATCTGCTGGCAGTCATGGTTATCCTTCCACAGCTGACGCATCCATGCACGATGTATGCGATGCCAGCCATAAAGCAAAGTGTCCGCGTGCCGGGGGCGTGCCACAGCAAGGGCACCGACACCGCCGCCCCGTGGTGCATCAAGCAGCTTTGCAAATAGAAGTTCTTCTCTGTTTGGAGCTTCATCGCCTCATCGACGCGTGGCTGTGGCTTCTGGGTGCTCTTGGAGGCATATTTCTCTTGCATCCACCGCCGGAACTTCACGGAAGCATCGCGACCGAATGCCAGCAAGTGCAGCCCAAAGAGAACCCACACTAGCAGTGCCGCATGCTTTCCATCTGCAAGCTCCGCCCCAGACCAAGCCATGGCCGCTCGGGAGCAATGCAAGTGCCAGTGCTATGAGGAAATCTAACGCCTTATCTCCGGTGTCGCGAAGCGGGAGGTTCAGATCTTGAGGGAAAATACGAAAATGGGAGTTTCCGACAAATAGGGTAGCGTAAATGGTAGGATCCTTATTAAACGGGCCCCTAATTTCATATACCAACAGGCAAGCAAGCAAACAAACAGACAGACGGGGACACCGACGGACAATCTACTTACCTTCGGTTAGTAGGGAATGGAAGCATGGTAGTAAAAGTAGTTATAATTGTACCCCATGCCTCCATTCCCTAAAGGTAAGTCTAGCCAGGGTTGACGAGTCCTCCGTCTCTGCATCGGCCTTTTCCCCGGTCTTCTCTTCTGCCTGGCAGGGTGGCAGTAGCCGGGATGCAAAGACCAGATTTCACTTCGTGGGCTTCGGACTTAGTTTCCTTGCAGTTTAAGGGCTTATGTTGGGGCCTTTTGGGGGTTCGGGGCCTGGGGTTTCGGGTTCATTTAGAGTCGCTGCCAGCCGTATAGGGAAGTGCAGTCACATGCCGGGTGCCCTTCAGCACGCAAGAACGACCAAGAAACTGGATTGTCGGCAGCCGCACCCCACAGAAGATACGGGAACATGGAGTGGACTCGAAACGACTCACCCTTGTTGTTCGGCACCCTGGTAAACAACGGCAGTCCGCCTCAAAGGCATCCCGAGCCCTTTCGGCATACATCGGTGCTTTTGTTAATAATACAGGGGCCTTAGCAATTAGAATAGGCTTCTGGGGCCCATTATACTATAGTTATAACCAGGGCGCCCCAAAATAGTCTAGGATTTATTAAGGCCCCTATATTAGTATTAGGGTTAGCTCCAGCAACAAGAGCTGGCGAACGAATACCGTGGCAGAGATAACTCTGGCTGATGTGGAGACCACAATGACGGAACAACTTTGCAAGCAATACACGGAATAGAAGGCACCTTCACCCTCCCTCCATGGCACTATGGCACCCGCAGACTTTCGCAAACATCTTCAAAAACATCCTCCTGCAAACCCCTACACCGCTCATATGATTTCCTAAAGCACCCCTTCATTGCGGAATAGACCCTAAACCAATCATATTCGGGCTCCAGGTATATATATATATATATATATATCAGTCCTGAGATAAGCCCCCTGTACTACGGAATCTAAGCCCAGGAGCTCCCATAGTGTAGGAACCTGATTAAGAAACGTTGGGCCTTTATAAGGGATCCTCAACAGAATCCTGCTATTTTGGGGTTGTAGGCCCAGGGTTTCTTAATCAGGTTTACCCTAAACCCTAAATCCTAAACCCAGGCGTATCGGCTTTCAGCGGCGCATGTGCATGGTTTGGTTGTTATGGCTTTCATGGCAGCTTACAGGTTTCACTTCGGAAGGTTTTTGCAGAGTTTGTTGTTTCTGAAAGTTTTGTTGGCGGCTCCTCAAGGGAGTACCCCGCCACGGGTTTCACAGGAAGGCCTGCCTCGATCGGCAATGGCAGGAAAGGGCGGAGAAGCTCCGGCTAACCCGCCTTCCAATCTGGCCAGAGAGCTCACGCAAGCCCATCAGCAACTGGGTTTGCAGCAGAATATTACGAGCCAACCGGTGTACACCGCCAACCAGCAGCTTTGGTTTCAGCACAGGCAGGACAAGCGCAAAGCCCCGTCAGCCTCGGGCTCTATGCTGGGTACACCGCAGGTGCCAGAGTCGGATGCTACAATGGAGGATATGGGACCGGATCCTTTTGCTACCCCGCCAGATGCAGGGCAGGGCGCTAACCTTTTCCAGCCCATGCCCATGCAGGAGTCCACGGCATACTCACTGGCAGCAGCACAGCTGGGGGTGGATATCAACGACCCAGCGGCAGTGCAATCGTGGCTCTCCGGAACGGTTTCCACGCGCGCGGACGTTTTACAGACGGTGCGGGCCTACCACCATGGGGTAATCCGCCCGGAGCTTTTCCACTATATCAGCCAAGTGGAAAACGTGGTTAAAACGCTCGACGACCGCATCGCGCAGAACCAGGAAGGCCTACGCTGGCTTGCTTCTGAGAACAGGGCGCAGCAGAAGCGCGAGTGCGGCCTGATGGTTATTCTCAGCGGCTGGGATCAAAGCATGGCGCCTGGAGAGCGCCTGTACATGATCAACTGGCTTTTGGGACAGGTCACCTATGTGCGTCACTTCCTGCAGCAGCGCAGCTACAACGCCTCTGACTCTGCCGAGTATTACTATCTCGGGGCCTTGCAAACTGACCCGAATACACCGCCAGCCGGCACTGGCAAGTGGAGTACAGTTACCACACTGTATTTCAAATCCTGGGACCTACGCAAGGAGTTCATGGCCGCGTTTGGAGGCTCAGGGGGTACACCGCTCTGGAAAGACGGGCAGACGGTGGCCAAAGGATTTCACATCCGTGCCACGCCGGCTTCGCCTCAGTTCCAGCGCAAGTTGGAGCTCCCGGTGCGAGTCCTCCTCAAGGCCATGAACAAGTGGGCGGAAACCCAGACTAATCCGCCCACTCAAATGATCATCCTCTGGCGAACACTCACGGTGATGGAGCCCAGCGAGAACCGTGAGTGGAACGACCAGATCCGTGCAGCAGCCAGGATGATCTACTTTGAGAAGGATGGTGTGTTTCAGGGGCGGCTGGAGATTACTCGGGATGTGCACACAATCATCCAGAGTAAACCGCCGGCCCCGGCCCTGGAAGACACACTCTGGGAACAATGTTGGAGCGAAGTGGCCTACGGCATCCAGCTGGAGATGGACAAAGCCGACAAGGAGATTTTTGAAAGGGCCCTTAAGGAGTCCAAAGGTTCCGGAAAGGGCGTGCAGCTTGGCAAAAGCTCCAGGCATTGGAGTACACCGCTCATTCACAGCAGTGACTCCAACCCGTTCCCAATTCCTATGTATGTCATGCCTGTGGATGACATTGCCTTTTCCTGGGACGAGCTGTGTGACAAGCAGAATCAGCCGGACCAGAAAGTGCGAGACTACAAGGTTTCCACCTTTGGGGGTAAACCGCCGGTGTCAGCTGCAGCTGCTAGCAGCATGCCACCTCCCTCCATGATGCCAGCTTCGGCCAAAGGCAGAGGCAAGGGCAAGAAGGGCTCAGCAGGAGCCGAGCAGGAGGATGAGTTTTGAGGGTTTACCTCCACAGTTTTCTCGCTTCCCTCTTTAGAGGCTGCGGTGTCCCCACCTTCTTTTCTGGCTACACCGCCCTGGCTGCTGGCTGGAGCTGCCTTTGAAATTTCTCAACATGGTCTCTCGACGTTGCCTTTTTCGAGACCTCAGCTCGCTAGCAGTCGGCCGCGGATTTTACAGGGTAATTTGGCTAAACCGCCTGGCTCGCTCCATGGCCCGCCCTTTGAAACTTTCTTCTATGGGGCAAGGAGCTTGAGCCGGCGAGGAAAAGCCAGTTTTCGACTTTTCGGGGGGTTACACCGCGCCAGGGAAGCAGCTTCGGGGTGCAAAGCTCCCAAGTCTTTTTCAGACTGCCAGGTGCGATACCACAAGGCTACCCCGCCTTTAAAACAGGATGATATAGGTTGGGATAGAACACCTATAAGGAGAAGACACCATCGACGTTCTAAAAGTAATCATAAACCTCAGAAGGGATGCAGTCTGTACGGTGCACTCATGCATATAGCTACTAGCTGCCTGATAGTTTTTTATTACACCTCGGAAAATAGGCTTTCACCCCCAATAATCTTGATGGATGGTATTATCACCACTACATTGCTCCAAGGAGTACACCGCCTCTTCAGTTTCACCGTGCCTAACAGTTTCAACTTCAGAGGGTTACGTATAGGAACAGCTAGAGGGTACAGCCACGCCTTTGTTTCATTGTTGGCGCGCGCACGCAATAGAATCATGCACACCAAAATGGGTAACTACTCAGAAGAAGACAACACTAGGGACATTGAAGAATTGTTTGCTAGCCATATCAAGATATCTAGGAGCGCGCTGCTAGGCATGAGAACGCCGGGCTACTCCGCCAATTTCACCCCCCCCGCCCTACAATCCATTAAACGCGCCAAGCGCACAGGAGATAGGGTTGATATTCTCACCGCGTCGGGTTCAAAGCTCTTCCGCTCTAAGCGCAGAGTAAAACCCAAACATAACAGAATTCGACTAATTCAACATTCCTCCGCTAACAGTCCAGCACCGCCTCAACGAGGCACGCCGGGTGTCACTTCGGTGACAAACGAAGAGTGCAAACCTCAACTTCCCCTGAACAATCCTCCCAAAGGTCGAGGTTCCAGAGCCAGGTGCCAACGTAGACGCCTTTATAGGCAATGGCGCAGGCTCTCGGGAGGAATTATAACGCCTAAGGTCTTGGGTAAACCTTCGGTGAACCAGGGGATTCCCTTGAAAGCAGCTCAAAGGTGCGATAAAATAACAAGAGCCAAACTCTTCAGAAGACTAGTTTTAGAACAGTCCCACCCGAGGAAAAGAGACCTACACCATAAATTAAAGCTGGCTAATCCGCCCATAGCGTATGGTGAGACTCTTTCAGTCGGTACGCAGGACGTGCAGGGTATGGCAGAACTTTTCAAACATCAGGAAGTCCTTCAACTTATGAAGGAAAAGCACTTAGAAGTGCTTTTCCTCACCGAAACACACTCCAAATCCTACTACACCTTCCAATCTGAAGCTCACCTCTTCATAGTCAATGGTAACCCTAAGGACAAGTGGTCCGGAGTTACGGCAGTGCTCTCCCCCAAGATTATACCGCACCTCAAAACAGTCATACAACATTCCTCTAGAATCCTTGAAATCATCTTAGCTTGTAGATCAGGCGACGTTCACCTTTTCGGGGTTTACGCACCACACGATAAATCTGATGACGAAGTAAGAAAAGCACCATTTTGGCAAAAACTCGAAGATGCCATTGCTAAAATCCCTCAGCCCGAGCCATACTATATCGTAGGGGATTTCAATGTACGATTGCAGGGACGATTTATCTCGGAATACGGTTTCCTTGGTCCCCACATCTACGGAAAAGGGGCTAAAGCTATTAAGCAGTTGCCTGGAACTAACCGACATTATTACACTCAGCTGTTGCAAGGTAACGCCGCAGTGGATGTACTCAGCTTTAAACAGTCTAACATACTTAAGCATGTTACATACAGGGACAAGCATCCCCCACCAGACTCATGGGATCAATTTATTTTGGACCCTCTAGGATGGTTACACGTGTGGGATAAATTCCAGGCTACACCGCTCCTCCAAGACGACCAGCTTCAGATAGTTGCTGACATCAGACAATTTCTGGGCGCAGACACGCTGCCACCGGCAGCGTTGGCTAAACCGCAAGTAGACCCCTACCGATTTCAGGGTCAGGATAGATGCGTCACCTCCCGAAAATGGCTGCCATCAGTGCGCAAATGCGGAGCACATCATTATACGGGCTTCCCCAGTGATCATTACCTTCTCACGCTTAAACTCAGGGTTAAGCTTTCGGGTAAAATGCCCAGGCATGTCCCTGCCCCTAAACATGATTACTCCGCCGTAACCGACATTATGCGTCGGGACTTTAACCGCGTAGTACAACAACAGCTAAAACTCAAAGAGGAGGAGCCCTCCAACTCCAATTCTAACGCGCACTGGGACGTGTATACAGACGGCTCAGGATCCCGAGGCAAATGCACTAGTGTTACTCCGGCAGGGTGGGGCATTTATATCGAAGATCAGGATGGCTGGTCCACAGAAGCCTGTGGGCCAGTCGAAACTGATGAGTACTCCGCCAACTACCTAGGAGCAGCAGTGGGAAGCAACAACACGGGAGAACTTACCGCCTGGATGGAGGCAGCGTTATATATTAGCTCTGAGTACACCGCCGGAACGTGTCACATTTCACTACGACAGTCACTGGGCAGCGCACATGGTCACAGGTAAATTCAAAGCCAAACGACATAAAGCGCTGGTCCGAACGGCTAAACAAATCTACCAGGCAGTACACCGCCAAACATCAGTTCACTGGCAATGGGTAAAGGGCCACACAGGAAACGCGGGTAATGAACACGCAGATAAGCTAGCTGAACAAGGCAAGAATCAGAGTACACCGCAAGGGGGCAGACACACCATCACACCGTTGTACACACCAGCGCAGATAGAAATAATGGCCGCCGAACGTCCACCAGATCCTATCATAAAACCACAGGACTTTGTTAACGCTCTCCTAGAGGCCGAAAAACAGACCATCCCAATGCTCACACGACGTCCACGCAACCCATGGATTACTCCCGAGCTGGCGCAGGAGCTTCACGCGGCGAAAAGGCTAAGGGCACCGCACGACAATACGGCGGTGGACACATACAAACGTCTAAAGACAAAGGCGCGAAAACACAAAAGGCAATGGCTGCGGGATAAGGTCTCGCAGGCCAACGCAGAATCCCACACATCCCTTTGGAGGGTGGTTAAGACCTTCAAACGCGGCTTTAGAGAGCGCAAATCCAGGCTAAAACGCAACGGCACCCCTGTACCATGGTCGGAAAACCACAAGGTGTTCGGGGCCCCACCACGGTCACCGCCGAAGAAAGACAACTCCTTAAAGAATCCCCGCCACTGGCTACACCGCCAACGCGCCCTCCTTTACCTTTCACAACCCAGGAATTAACGGATGTGATAAAGGACCTCAAGCGCAACAAAGCCCCAGGACCAGACCGCCTGCCCGCAGAAACTCTAAAGCTATTAGATTACGTAGTAGAAGCGGAACTCCTTAAGGTTATCAATCACTGCTTTGTAACGCGCACAGTTCCTGACACGTGGAAAGAAGCTAATATAGTTAGCATCTTTAAGGGAAAGGGGGACGACTCAGATCCCGCCTCATACAGGCCGATATCCCTTCTCAATGTAGTATATAAAGTCTACGCAGCGCTGCTACAACGCCGACTAGCAGCCGCACATGATCACATACTTCGGGAAACACAATACGGCTTTCGTGCAAATCGAAGCACACTACAACCTCTATTTATCCTCCGGAGACTACAAGACTACTCCCTAAAAACAGGACAACCTATGCATGTAGTCTTACTAGATTGGAAGATGGCTTTCGATAAGGTCGACCATGAATCGATGTGTATAGCCATTGAACGCCTTGGAGTACACCGCCACTACGTCGATATTATTCGAGACCTATATTCAGGACAATCTTTCAATACACTTGGCATGCAGGGTTCACAAGAAACGGCTAAACCGCACACGGGCATCCGCCAAGGATGCCCTCTGAGTCCATATCTATTTATAATGGTTATGACCGTATTGATGCACGATGTGGACGCTAGATTGCGCACACACGGTGTACCTACAAATACTTGGTCGGTTGGTAAACCAGTTTACGATCTCGAGTATGCTGACGATACACTACTGATCGCTGTGACTAAACCGCAAGCTGAAGAATTTCTTCGAGCTATTCAGGTAGAGTCCTCCCTGTACGGCTTATCGCTTAAATTAACCAAAACTGAATTGCTCACACACCCCCAATCACTCCCAGGACACATACACTATGTTAACGGAGATCCAGTAGTTAACGTTGAAGAAGCTAAATATCTCGGCACGCAAGTATCCTGGAGCCATCCCACCAAAACCGCCATAGAAGCGCGCAAAAATAAAAGCCATGTAGCGTATCTCAAACTACAGAACTTGTGGCGCAGTAGAATCAATATCAGAACCAAAGTAACGATATTTATGGCCAGCATAGTACCAGTTCTACTTTATGGACTCGAGGTCCTCTCTCTGGAAAACAGACACCTGAAAACCATTGATGCTTGGTTCCATAGATACTTACGAAGATGTATCGGAGTAAAAGCTTCGTTCTACTCGCACGTAACCAACGAACGGGTATGGAAAGTCGCTGGTAAACCGCCCCTTCCGTCCCAGACCTTGATTGCCCGACAACTTCAACAGCTCGTGGACATCTTGGCTAAACCGCCTAATAACCCACTACACCACGTCGTCTTTTCACCAGGCTACAAGGATAGAGTTAAATTTACTAAATCAAAGCATAGAGGCCACCCATGCCGCTATTGGTTTGAGTTAACAGTAGAGAGAGCCCTACCAGTATACCACCACTACCTGGACCACACCGCCCCGAACCAGTACAGGGACTTCAGAAGGGACTTTCTCGGGTTAAAACAACT